CCCCCCCCCCCCCCCCCCGCAAAAAAAAAATCCAACAAAAAAAAACCCTTTATTAGGATTTTGGATGACGTTGTCCAAGAAAGTAATTACAGACCCTAGGATTCCATAATTTTTCAGGTTCAATTCAAGAAACTGATTGCTGGAGTGAAATGCTTGAGCTCTCAAACATGAAATATGAGAGCAAAATGTTAGTTGAGGAAAACTGCATGATCTTCCCCACCTCTTTCAGTTCTGAGGACATTGACTGCTTGGAGAACGTAACAGACTTCTTGCCAGAAAGCATATCATCTGATAATAACGATTTAGAAGTACTATACAATCTTGGCCATTCATCAAGCACACCAATCCATAGATCTTCAATGGAGACACACAATGAGCTTAGTGTAGGTGGGCCCAATGTGGATCACGAGGCAAAGAATTCTTCCCAAGACAGTAACTTTGATGCTCCTCGTACACAGAGAGTGCGTAAGCCTACTCGGAGATATATTGATGAATTAGCACTAGCAGAGGATCTTAACCCAAGATGTGTTAAGAAAAAAGACAAATGTCATAAGTTCAAAAACAGCATGAAACAAAATGAACATGTAGCAGAAGAGTTTCAAGCCGAAGAGACTCTCTGTGAAGCTATTCAAGTTCCCTTTGGTCCTCCCGTTCCCGAAGAATGTCGTCCTGACCCCAACAGAGATGGTGATAAGAAACGTGTGCCTGAGGTTAAGAAAGTCAATCAGGACATGATGCCATCTTTTGCGTCTGAAATTTGTCATAAGGGGTATGAATTGGCCGTATATAATCCCTCCAAGGCGATACCACTCGAGCCCGGACCTGAAGAATGTGATAAGAAGTGCATGTTCAATGGGAAGCCCGTGAATGGGACCCACACGTTATCTTTTGGTTCCAAAGAATGTAGCAAGAGTCCAACTTCTTGTGATGTGAACAAGGTAGATTTTTCAGCCTCTACAGTTCTCCACGAATTACACTTATTTTAAGTCTGCACACACATTTGTGGGGTTATATTGGGTTTTCTGTTGCTGTATTCTAAACAGCGCGTAAGAGTGTTTGTATGTGTTCATTTTGCATTGTTTTACTCGTAGATCATTAGAGTACGCATTTATGTTGTGCAGGTGCTTACATCGGATGAGGAGGATATTGAAATGGCACTGACACTGTATGATGAGAGAAGGGCTCGAAGGAAACACCACAGGCTATGGACCGTTACAGAGGTGAAGATGTTAATAGATGGCGTTTCTCAGTTTGGAGTTGGAAGATGGAGTCAAATTAAGAAGCTTTTCTTCTCTGCATCTGACCATAGGACACCAGTAGATCTCAAGGTATGCATGCATGCACTCTCTCTCTCTCTCTCTCACACACACACACACAGTGTGAGGTAAACCTTACCACTTATGAGGATATTTTTAAGGTGAGCCAGACTCAGTTTGTGCTACTCTTAAATTTATCTGAGCCGGTAGTCTCTTGGAAAATGTCTCTCGATGTCCGAGTAGAGATAACTTAGGTACGGTCTACGTAGACACACCCTCCCTAGACGCTACCTTTCTATGGAGTTTTACTGGATTTGTTTGTTTGAGACTCAATTTGACATGATGACTTTGTTTGTTTGAATTGGGTTGCTACTTGTTATTGACGATGAAGAAAATGTATTCCCTGAATGGACACTTTTTTTCCTAAACTTTACAGGACAAATGGAGAAACCTCTTAAAAGCCAGCTATCTTCAAACACAAAGCAAGAAACCGGTCAGTTCCCTCTCTTTACTTCTTTTGTGAAAAAGAGGGGAGCTAAAACAAACTTGCTAGATCTTCCTTTATATAACTATTTAGCCCTGTCAACTTCCAGTCCACTAGCAGATACTTCATGGCCTAAAGACTATCACTTTATCAGCCATGAAATGACATTTTTCAAAATTTATTATCAGATTAGACTCGATGCATCTTTGCAAAACAAGAGGAAAATGGTTCGAACAAGCATCAAAGCCATCATTATAAATAGTAGAATCATCCAGCAACACTTACGTTATTTTGGTTAGATATTCAGAAAACATATTGGTCATACTTCTTTGAAAGGTGGCGGGGGCATTGCATAAGGAAAATGACCTTCTAATTGTTTTGGCACATTTTTGGGATGTTCCAAAATAATTTTCACCTAAGAAACATTTTGAAATAAAGTTCAACATTTGAAAAACATTGTACATTAACTCTTCTAGTCCCTTTGGGTCTATAGTGTTTAAGTGAACGACTTGACAACTCAGAAATAGAATGTGTCATATTATCAATAATATCATGTGTAAAAAACGTGGTTCACTTCATTTGGAAATTTCATGGAATAAAAAGTGTTGAATTTCCATATTTCTTATTTCCATATATCATTGCATCAATGCTTGGGCATCCATTGCTTTCTTTAAAGAACATTTTCACAATTACTATGGCAGTAAAAACAATTAGCACACACACAATCCAACAAGTAAAAGTTTCTTTGATGGTGTGAGTCCCCCTTTTAGATGAGGTTGACCACATCCATCTTTGCAGTCCCTAAGTAAGGGCCACACTGTCTTTGAAAAACATGCAAAGACGGGAGTGGCCCTTAGACAAGGATGTGCAAAGACGGGAGTAGCCCTTAGACAAGGACGCACAAAGACGAGTCTGGTTAACCTCATTTGAAAGGAGAACTCACGCCATTCATGAAGCATTTATTTGTTGGATTGCTTGTGTGCTTTATTGTTCTTGCTCTCGTAGTAATTGTCAAAGCCCGTTCTACAAAGAAGGGAAGGGATGCTCGTGCATTTATTCAGGAATATTTAAAAAAAAAATAGGTAAATTCAACACTTCCCAAATAGAGTGAACCATGTTATTACTCTTGATATTATTAATAGTATGGCACTTATGTTTTTGAGTTGTTCACTGGCTATAGACCTTAAGAGACTAAAAGAGTTCATGTACAATGTTTTTTCAAATGTTGAACTTTATTTCAAAATGTATTCTGAGATGAAAATTGTTTATTGGGTTTCTAATCTTAAACTTGTCAAAACAGTTGGAGGATCATTTGGCTTATGTAATGCCTCCGCCAACCTTCCAAGAATGTATGACCAATATTTTTTCTGAATATCTTATCAAAGTAATGAAAATGTTTCTAGATGATTTTACTCTTTATGACGATGACTTTGATGATTGCTCGAACCATTGGCATCTTGTCTTGCAAAAATGCATTGTGTCTAATCTGATGATAAATGTTGAAAAATGTCATTTTATGGTTGATAAAGGGGTAGACTTAGGTAATCTAGTATCTCTAGGTGAACTAAAACAAATTTGCTACTAATTTGTAAACTCTGCATGCGATGGCAGGGTAAAGGAGCAAAGCAAAACTTTTCTTGGCGGCCATTGCCGAAGCCCATTTTGCACAAAGTCATTGAATTGGCCACTGTGCATCCATATCCAAGAAACTGCAAGTCCAAGAATTATTAGATCTTTCCTCTTCTTATTACCAATAAACCCCAAGCAAAATCATTCAGATGTGAAAAGTTAATCTATTTAGCACTTTTTAGCAGAATGTATATTCATAAACATCCTCTGCACTTGTACCCAAGAATGTCATGAATTTGTAACCTTTCTAAAATCAATGGTAATTGGTAAGTTGGAAATGTACAAGCAAGTAGGTACGTACTCGAAGCGTGCACGTTATGAAATTAGTATATGCACATTCTTCGAGTAACATAATGCTTATTGAATGTACAAGAAAGTAGGTTCATCCGAGTAGCGGAATAATTTACCCGAGATCGACGATGTCTTAATTTCGAGCACCTGATGGGCTAAATCCAAATGCCACATTACATTTTTTTCTTACTTTCTATGAATCCAAAGTCTACGTTTGGATGAGGGGAAATTGAAGAGAAAATGAGAAGTGTTAACCCTTTGTTTAAACCTATGAATAGTAAATTGAAAGATAATTTTTGGACATGAGTATTTTCTATCCTCTTGGTTTACCCAACCCTTTCCTCTTCTCTATATTCTCTTCAAACCAAACAAGAGAAAATACATTGAAATGTATGTTTTCTTTTCCATTATTTTCTTTGCAATTCTCTCCAACCTTGCAATTTCTCTCTAACCAAACAGACCATAAATTCTACTCTTGAGTTGGATATATTGGTTATTTAGTAAGGTTACTATAAAAGCCATCTACTCAAGCTAAAAACACCTCAAAATTGGAGTACAAAATGGAACTTAAATAGTAAAACAAAGTGAGATATGGGGAGAAAAAAAAACATCAAACATCAACTGGCAAATTAATGAAGAAACTGCTCCTCCTGATTGTATCAATATATCCAACTCATTCACTTCATATTTTTTAAAAATACAATCTTAAATCAATGACTCGGAGAGGCCTCGTTTGGTAACATGATCCGTCTCACAACATTTAACACTATTCTTTTGCTGAAATGAATGTTACCAAGTGTTTTTTCCCATTCAAAAAACCAACGATTCCAAAGAAATAACCCTTCCCAAACGGGCTCTAAGACAACGTACACCTTACACAGTTTGTCCCTGTTTAAAATGGACTATAAAGACTGTCATATAAGCAGAAACACAAAAAAAAATGACCATCTATCACCTATAGGAGTAGTATTTATACATTTTCTCACCATATGAGTCTTCACAAGAACTAAACGTGGCATCGTACTCCCAAAAATCCAGTGAAGCCTACAGGTAATGTGTTTGCCTCGGGGCTTATACATTACTTGAATGTACAAACAGATAAAGCACCAAGAACATATCATGGCTGTTTTTTACAGACTTACCACAACAATGGCAGACTTCAAATACGCAACTACACATAGGCACGAATGCGAAGGTTACGACCAGATGAAATAAGAACTCATCTGACGCGCTCTAGAAAGCCCTCCATTTCCCTACGCCCAAAGGTCCTCCTGAGTGAGGATGCATCAATTGACCTTGCAGCCAAATAAAACACGAGCCAGACGATCATGAAATAGACTTCCATGACTGACTGGAATGCGGTTGCGTAAACTTCCCCCACAACCTCAATCAATACCAATTTTGTCAAAAGCCCACAAATCATGGATTCCCAAAACTTGATACCCATGGCAGGTTTGTGTAAGGTGCCCAACAAATGCCACCCTTCCTTCACAACCTCCCTACCGCTCTTTCTTGAATCCACAATTGCAACCCATGAATCTAAAGCAAACACATAGCCCACCAGCAACTCGACAAAGAACCATGAGAGTGTAAAGCACACGCTTTCCTCCTTGTGCCCCTTAACCCATGGTACTACATCCGAAAAGGGCATCATTTTCATTCTTATGGAGATCTTCAAGAACTCATATTGATCATCAATTTCACCAAAAGACCAGATCCCCAATAGCTGCGCCAATGCATCCCGGACTGCCCATCTTATTAGAACGAATCCGGAAAGCCTTCTGAGCCCTAAATCAGCACCATCCCACAATGTCCTAAAAGGGGATTTGGAATTGCCTAGAAGATTATCCAGTACCTGGATGAAGATGATGCCATTTACCCAAGTGTATGTGACCAAGAATGCGAAGACCGCATAACTGTAAGCAGCTATGAATAGCCCTAACAGGAAAAGCAATTTCGTCACATCGTTGCGGCCAAGCTCCAAACCTTTCACCAAGAACTGTAAATCAACCACTACTGTGTTGTCATTGTGACCCTCACTGAGAATTGTGGAATTATCGTCGATTCCAAATGGTTCAGATGAAGGCTTAAAGGATACTAACCCGGAACGAACGGATTGGGGAATAGCAATTCCGTTGTCCACGATGGGGTGCGAAAACCCTAATCTCGGATCGAAATTCGAGAGGATTAGGGAAGTAGCATTGGGAGTTTGCTTCGATGAAGGGTAGAACAGGGAGCGGTCAAGGTCAAGGTCTCCGGAGAAGAAGTCGTCGTCTAGGGTTCCGACACGGGTGAGGTGAAGAAAAGGGCGGCGTTGTCGGTGGAGGCGGATGTTGTGCTGGTGGGGGGCGGAGGAGGCGGCGGCGGCGGCGGAGAGATCGACGCGGGAGAGGAAGGACTTGAGAGACGGATCGCGGTCGATGACGGAGGTGAGGAAGTGGGCCCCGTTGTCGACGTTCGACCGGAAAATAAAGACGAGGGAGGACAGGAATAGGAAGAGGAAGAAGTGGGAGAAAAAGATGGAGGCGGCGTGTTTGAGGACCTGGGCAGTCGTGCGGTGATTGATCGGGGACGATAACGGCCGCAACGGCGGCCGTGGAGGGTGGTTGTTCATGGTGGCGATATCCAGATCAGAATTTAGGAAAAATCGGAGGTCCAAAAGTGCAAAAAAAAAAAAGATTGATCCGGAGTATTATAAAAGCTCGATACGGTACAATATTCAATGCTTATAAATCTTGAAAAAGTTTTCTTTTATTATTTCTTTTCTTTGCATATATTTTTAATTATACAATTTTATTTTGTTATCGTCTTACTTGATCAATTATGGAACATGATTCAGAGATGAAGGGAGTACGAACAAAAACTTATAAATTCACATTAAAATTATTCAGAATAATTATGGAGTATCTTTTTAAGCACTAATAACATTAAATACCACTCTTTTTCTATAATAACGAATTAAGCTAGATGAACTGTAATCATCAATTACATAGATAATACGAATTATATTACATATTAATATTAAAAATTACAAGTAATAATTTGAAAGCTTGTAGTGAATAAATTTAATAAAATCAATTTTATTCTAATAAATTTAATAAAATCAATAAGCCTTTTGAATCAAAGCCAAAAACTTATTTTGTGACCGAAAGATTATTATGAATGTTTTTGTCATTATTACTACCTCCGTTCCATTTTATAACGCCTGTTTCGGTTTACGATGTTTGACTGAAATTATTTTCAAACCATTTTATATGACAAATGGTATATAATTAAAAAAAATAAAAATTACATATTAAAAAACTAAATCAAAAGATCTACAAAACTAGTAGTGACAATAATATTTTATTTTATCAAATTGCTAACGAAAATAGAGAAAGAAAGTGAATGAAGTTTGACCTTGTGAATAGAGAACATGCATTATAATCTGGGACAGAGGGAGTAGTACTTATTGACTTATTAATCAATAAATACAGAGTAGTTTTTTAATTTATAAATTGCTTATAAGTGAAACGTGTTTTCAAAAAAGTAAAATGACTTAAAATCATAGATAACTCATTTGAAAATATTCATAAATGATGATAATTAATTTTCGCTCCCGTCCTGAAATGTTTTTCCCACTTACTATTCACACGGTCAAATTTTAATCACTTTCTTTACCTATTTTCATTAGGTATTTGATAAAATAATATAGTCTTGTCACCACTTGTTTTGTAGAACTTTTGATGTACTTTTTAAATATATAAATTTTATTTTTTAGTTTTACACCTACAATCAAATAAATTGAATTAAAAATAAAGTCGGTCAAACTTTGTAAACAGAACCGGGAAGAACATTATAGAACGGAGGGAGTAATAAATAATCTGCTCGAAATGAATTTTTTTAAAAATCCAACTTAAAAATAAATAAGAAAAACCTTTTATTTTTTATAACTTAAAAATTGCTTATAAAGGTCCATTCCTTTCAATTTATTTTTTCAAAGTATTACTTATTATTATTAAAATCATATCAGACCAAATCCAATCATATCAAATCCATTAAAATCAAATTAGATTAGAAATAGATTTAAATATAACTACAATCAGATCAAATTCAATCAAATTAGACCAAATCTAATCATATCAGATGAAAAAATAGACTTAAATATAACTACAATTAGATCAAAACAGATCTAATTAAATCAACAAATCAGATTAAATCAAATCAAACATGCAGAACGCAACCTAAGTTAGCTTATAAACACAGAGAAACACGTAGATAAACAGTTTTGACTTGCTTATTAGCACAAAAAAACGCTCACAATATAATACGGTCTACAGAGTACCATTACCATAACAATGCATTAAAAAACTGCAAAATACAAACGAAAACTGTATTTTTTTTAAAAACATAAATTCGTGGAGATAATCCAAAACACACTTAGAATTATTTTTACTATTGCCAGCTATGTTCCTTCATCATCATCAGAAGAAGACTATCACACCTCAATGAATCTTTCTCAAGTACTAAGAAGAAAAACTGGTGTGGCCGGAGAGGAAAAAAAAGAATTGCGTATTTATTCAAAGTCGGGCTTCTCAGGGTAGGTGCAGCCGGGCCTCTGGATGATGACATTGGCGGCGTAACAAGCTGCTCGGATGCAATCTGCGATCGGTTTCTCCTGGACCAACTGTGACAGGAATCCTCCCACAAATGCATCACCTATAATTAAACCAACACCCACATTTTAGGGCAGACAATAGTTGATCTGTGAAAAAAAGTCAATGGTTTAAACATCTGACTTTCTGAAGTTTAAGAAAAAAGTTAAAACAGTGAAAACCGCATGGTTAAAACTTATTATAGAGAGAAAACTGATCGCAAACTGTGTCTTTTTTTAGAATGAACAGACAAAAATCAACTTTTTTTCAGAACCAAAGCCAAATGGGTTCAATGCCTAGACATAGACAAAGCGGATTTTTGAAGAAAAAAAAAAGAGCACAAACCTGCACCATTGGTGTCAATGAGTTTCTCTTTTGGCAACATTATGACAGGAAACAATTTTACTTTCCCATCCTCGGCGACGACAACTGGATCTGCACCCTGAGTGATGACAGTGATCCTCTTGTGAGTTCCGGATGCCTTAGGCCACTGTGAAATCTTCAAAGCTATTTCTTCAACATTATCAGTCTGCGCCATGAGCAATACAATGACACGAAAAATATTTAAAAAGGCAAATATATTATCGCACGTATTAGAACGTATTATTGTGCAAAATATCAAAAAAAAAACATGTACCTCCCAACCATGAACTTTAGAGAAAGTTCTTGCTTCTGTCTCATTTCCAAAGACGTAGTCCGCATACCTGAACACCAAAATGGTTACAGTATTCAATCTCATACCAGTTAGCACCTAGAGGCATTCTACTGGGTTTGTTGTTGTAAAGTCACCAATCATGGTTATATTTAATTTTAACATATTTAAATTTTTTCAGACACTTGTGTTTTACAAATAAAATAAAATTAGAATAAAATTTTCTGAAATCAAACTTTGTTTGTTGAAATATAACTCTTTATTGGGACAAAAGACAAGTTCTCAAAGACTAATTTACTTGAGATGGATGTAGAATTACTTTATATTAAAAATGTACTGAGTCGTAGCACTTACTGCAGAGCCTTCTCTTGTGCATCCCGGAAAAACTCGCAAATAAATGGAGCAGAAAGGTTTGTCGTGAACACCTACACATAATAAAAACATAAATGTCTTTAACCATAAATTATGTGATTGAGCCCCGGAGGGGGGGTCTCATGGAAATAGCCTCTCTACTTCCGGGTAGAGGTAAGGTCTGCATACACACTCTTCCAACTTCCGAGCAGGGATAAGATCAAACTCTCCTTACTTTCGAGTAGGGATAAGGTCTACGCACACACACCCCTCCCAACTTCCAAGGGATAAGATCCAAGTAAACACGCCCTCTCCAAATCCTACTATGTGGTGGGATGTTACTAGGTTTTTTGTTGTCTTTCACTATTAAAAAAACATTCTTAAATAATCTATATGCAAAGATCGGACTTAAAATACTTTTATCATACCTTATTGTTGGCAGCTGCATGCTCTGCAACAAGCTGAATTGATTCGGGGGAAACAGTGAGGAAGAATCCAGCAATGTAGTAGTACTTGGCCTTCTCAACTGCAAGTCAAAATCAAGAAATTAATGTTTTCATGAAATGGTAAAGAACATAGATGATGGACATAGTGAAATGGAGCATACCCAAAGCCCAATTTTCGGGTTTTTTCAAATGATCAGGCTGGTAGCAATTTGCAGCAGACAAGTTGGCAATGAGTGACCTGCACATTTAATTTTTCCATAATCCCATTAGGAAAAGATTAAACCCTATATGAGAATTGTATAAATAAATGAATTAAATAAGTTGGAACAAATATGGAAGGAAATTTAATTGGGGAGTGATTTCAATAATTGGTCCTTTATAACAGGGGTTTTCCATATTTAGTCCTCTATTATACAATATTACCCATGGGGTCCTTTATGGGTACTTTTCCACAAATCGTCTTTTTTTTACCTTCTGCCATCTTGATGTTAAATTGAGGGCTAAAAATGTAAAAAATTATTGATCTTCAACCTTTACTATTAATATTAACTAGTGTTAAAAACCCATTGAACACGCAAGACCATTTGTAGAACAGTACTAATAAAAATGGAGCATTACGTATACACCCAAGGATTTTGTCGTTCATTTTTGTGGCCACACGAGAATTTCAAATGTGAAGGAGAGCAAGATATATGACTGTTTAGTCTATTCACTCTATTGAGACTCACCTCTCACCATCATTGACACAGACAGCACAAGTACCCGTTGCAGTTGTTTCATGCTCATAATAGTGAACCTGAACATGTCAAAATTGTAAAAAGAATATGAATCGTCACTTCTAGCACGCTCAATCCAAGCAACTAAAAGTTGCAGTAACATTGAATCAACAAAAATATGATTAGTACTGCACAAATGTTAAAATCAGAACCAGTAAAATGCAAACAAAAAAGGAAATTACTTTAACACCAGAATCTTTTGCATTTTTCTTCATCTCCTCCCCAAACTTGTCCTTTCCAATGCAACCCATGAAACTGGTTGCACCTGGTTTTTGAAGAATCCACTGCAAAAGCAAAAAGGGGAAAAATGCACTGAATCTCTAACATACATACATCATCTTCTAGAGAGAGTCAATGAGATAGTAAAACCCATTAGTAAAAAAATGATACCTGAGCAACCCTGATTGAATTTTGAGTAGCACCTGCAATACCAAATTAACAACCAAACATGTCACTCAAAAAAAATCATACCCAAACATAAAAGAACATGAAGGATGAGTTCTTAAATTCGGTTATTCTACTAGTGTATCCCCGACAATGGTTGTCTCATAGACAACGATTGTCTTGTGTAATTGTCTCCAATAGTGTCATCGATTTCCCTCTTAAACACATAGTCCATACCTCCAGCAATGTACTCAACATTGTACTTAGATGTCATTTCTTCATACCTGATTACAAATAAACAAGCCTAAGAGCATCAGCTAAAATCAAAAAGACAATCATCAAGCAGCATCATACAAAGTAAACCAAATCATCCAGAAACTGTTCTACAAGTTCAGATCCGGTTTAAACTTCAAAGGGGGACAAACAGACTTACATAGGCAAGTGCTTTTCATCCGCCAGAATTGCATCGTTCAACTTGACTTCGTACCTATATGGGTTAAAATAAAATGTCAACACCAAACAAGTCCCACAGAAAATGACTGCATCGATTCAGCATTGATGTTATACAAAACAGAATCTCACGGATCAAAGATCAAGCAATATAATTACAGAACAAGATAAAACAAAGGATCTAGAGATCAACCCAAATCTACAAAACGGTTCATACGATTGAGAAAGATCAAGAAAGCCACGACAGATCGAAAGAAAAACAATGGAGGCATGAGAGATCGAAAGATCTGGACTTTAAAAAACAGCGTACTTGTTCAAGAAATCATGGTCGACGACGGCAGAAATGTCGAGGAGGGGGTTTCCCATCCCCAGAAGAATTCCATCGCACGACATTTTCCCTTGCTGCTGCAGAAAAGAAGCTTCAAATCTGGGTGGAGACGGATGAATGGATTGTGGGTGAGTTCAAAAATTTTGGGACGGGAACTCAGTTGGGCGCAGGGAGCACATAAAAATCCTTTCTTTGGGAGAATTTCGTAGGGCCCAGGTTGGTGATGACCTAGAAATGCGGTGACCGAAGGTTGGTGAGAATGTAAGATTACGAAAGTCTTGTTTGGCAAAAGCCAAAAGGTGAGTACTAAATAATACTCGGGGGTAAATAATTTTTCAAACAATTAATTTCATAATTAGTTTTTATAATAAAATAAAGGTATTTTTATTTAGTTTTCTATTATCAAGTATTATAAATGTAATCTTTCTTTTATGGGTATCTTTACAGAAATAATATGTTTTAATTTTTTGTCATGTTAGTGTTAATTTGAGAATTTAAAATATAATTTCAAAATAATCATATATCTTTCTTGTCATACACAATTCCAGAGGCCACTCTTCATGCGGTGTTTGTGAATTACAGTCGCTTTCTACTACATTGTAGTCTATAAATGTGGTATTTCGTCAGAATCCTAATCCATAGTCATAGTCATTATTGATGTATTGTCCGTCTAACCAACATCATAATATGTCATTGAACACATTGTCTTCATTAAATCACTCACATTATTATTACTCTGTCTCATCAAATAGCGATTCCTCAATTAAAAACATTTCATCGACTCTTTTTCATTTTGCACCCTTTTTCATTTTGCTCTTAAAATTGGTGTCTATTTCACCATGTAATCCCATGTTAGGTAATTACCAAAGCTTTGAAGTTTTAGAAATCTTGCAAACTAAGCCATTAGGAACCTATTCTCTTCCACTAATTCCACAAGTACTTTTTATTGAAATCAAATCAGATCAAAAATAATTCTAAATATAATTACAATCAGATCAGATCAAAACTTAAAATTTAAGTAAATTTAAAACTCAATAAAAATGAAAGAAATTATCACCGAATCCGGCAGGGGAAATTATGTATACATCCACCAAAAATAAATGTATTATGCTTCTTAATCAGATAAATGAATCATGAGAATGGCTCCCGCCAAACATAGTTTCCTGCAGAACAAAAAAAACCGTTGGGGGGGAAGAACTTTTTTTTTATTTTTCCAAAATGTAGATAAACTCAGCAAGGCGAACGACGTGACATTATATGAGTGTGACTCTTGAAGTCACTGAGTTTGCCTTCCCAATAAACACCGGGAAAAAAACTTTAAAATTTTCCTACTTGAGAGCGAACCAGAATGGGAAAATGAATGGATGCTTGTTTGGGGCAACGTTGTTTAGAGATGATCACAGATTGCATTTGTGAATTCGGTTGTGGAAGACTTCCCGCCAAGGTCCCCAGTCCTATACTTCCCTTCTGCAATGGTGGTCATGATGGCGCTCTGGATGCGGTCAGCTTTGTCGTGAAGATTCAGGTGTCGCAACATCATGACCGAACTCAAAAGCAAAGCTGTTGGGTTTGCCAAGTTCTGTAAAAATGAAAACCATGGTAAAGTTGGCTACAAGGACAGGCAGAAGTACAGCATTCTAGAAAATTATCCTGTCTATTCCAGTTTTTGTCTGTCATATTTGTTTCATTGTCTGTTCTAACTTTAAGGAAATTTTTAATACAGTTGTGTGTGTCTAATAGTGTGTACTTTTCCCGTTATTTCTAAATGTATGAACTAGATAAACATAACAAGAGTATCAAATTTATAGAAATTGCAAGTATCACTAGTCATGTCTTGTTGGGCATCTATTTTGGGACGAAGGGGGAATAATATTTACATACATGATGCAAAAAAAGAAACTAGTGAGTATAAAAATCAGACTTCACAAGACCAAAGGTATACAAACTAGGTAGATAATCAATGCCAACAAATTTCATTACACAACTATCATGCTTTATGCTTAATTGTTGTACAATCTAACAAAATATCAGTCTTTGTTGCAATGCCTGATAGCTAAGACTCATAGGCACCACAAGAGAGAAAAGGAAAAAAGTGAGGATGCTGGTAGTGAGTGGCACGTTTTTCGAAGCATTATATAATACTTTCACCAGTGTGTTTTCTAAGTTTCCTTGATTGTTGGTTCATTGGACTCTTGAGATAATTGACTTAATATTTTGAAAAAAGGAAATCATTTACTGAAAGCATATCATTTTTACAATTTTTTGTTAGTTAATACATAGAAGAACAACTTATTTCCCAAAAATAAACATTTTCCATAAAAAAAGATATTCTACAGAACATTTTTCCCACTGCAATCAATGGAGCATATCAAATACATTAACTTAAGAGAGAAAAGTACTCTGACAAACTTGCAAACCGTGTTTATAAAACAACATTGTGTGTTGCTTAAAGATTTCAACTAGCGTGTTAGAAAATTTGTGTGTGCGGGTAAAATAAATATGCAGCAGGCTAGCCACCAGCAAGTAAACCAAAATTTAAATCCAGTAATATTGAAGCAAAGTTGCACACCTTTCCAGCAATATCAGGTGCTGAACCATGCACTGCCTCAGCAAGGGCTATGCCACCCTCACCAATATTGCAACTGAATAAATACATTATGTCTTAGTTGTCCACTTGTCATGAAATATAATCAACTTGATATGAAAAAAATTAAAGGAGAAACTCAAATACCTCGGTGTTAGACCCAAACCTCCAATCAAACCCGCACAAAGGTCGCTGATAATGTCACCATAAAGATTAGGCATCACCAACACATCAAAGAGTGTTGGATTTTTCACAAGCTGTATGGTTACGAAAATAGATATACTTTAATATCTACTTTTCAACCCTTAAAACACAGGATTTGGTTTATAAAAAAGGTAAGTATAGATACCAGCATGCAGCAATTGTCAATAACAACTTCTTCATATTTTATATCAGGGTATTTCTCTGCAACTTCACGACAACACTAAAATGGATATACTGTAAGTTAATGTATGTGAAGCACAGTTTGTGGTGTGTTTGGAACCTGGGAAATGTTAAGGGAAGGAAAGAAATTGACAATGAAAGTTATTTTCTTGTGCTTGGGTTTACCTTGAAGATATACAAAGGAAAATGGAATATGATTAATGTATTAAAGAATTATACTCCTATATCCCAATTAATTGCACTTGTTTTCCTTTTTCGGCCGGCCCCAATTTAATGTATCTATTTTCAAAAAGAAGCACATGCTTTTTAGCATTCCACTCTTCTCGGCATAAATCTCCATCACACAATTTTTACTTTCTTAAAAATTGTGGTGAGTCAAACTAGGCAGATTATATTGGAGTGGATGGGAGTATATATATTTAGATTTCCTTCAAATTTTCCACTTCAATTTTATTAACTTTCCCCCGCATTTTTCAAGATCCAAACATATCCTTAAACGAAGAGAGGGAACATAAAAATGTAGAAGACCAAAATGTAGAAGACCTTGAGGAAAAGACCGTCAGTTTTTTGCATGATGTTGGCTTTGTGTATGGCAGAAACTCTTTCTCTTCCATGTGTCTGTGCATAGTGGAATGCATACTCTGCGACCCTCAAACTTGCTTGACGTGTAATGATCTTGAGGCTTTCAACCACACCCCTCACCACCTATACAAGATTCAACAGTTAAACACAATTCTTAAGTCTTTGTTTGGTTGGAGAGTTTTGGAGCATGGTGGATGAAGGTGAAGGAGTTGCGTGTGTTGGTTCGGTGTGAGTGTGTGGGAGGGTAGGTGTGGGGGGCGGGAATTGTCATGCATCATATGCATGTAGATTAATATATTTTCAGTTACAATAAAAATTATTTCTCATTTTAAGTATTTTCAAGAATTGTATTGCCTCCTAACTCTCTTTCATCCAACCAATCATAATATTTTTAAACCCCCCCCCCCACAAATCCCCACATTTATCATTCCCGTGGACCCTGGTTTGAACCAAACAAAGGCTTAAGGATGATATATGTGGGGTTTCAAAACTATTTTGCAAATGAAGGTTATAAAAGAGATTAACTCACTTGATGTTCAAGACCACTGTACTCTCCTTCAGTATTTTCACGAATTGTAATGAGGTTTACATCATCATAGCGAGTCTTGTATCCAGGTAGACTGTAGCAAGGTCTAACATTGGCATACAGATTGAGCTCTTTCCTCAGTGTAAGGTTCAAAGAACGATGACCTTTTCCAATAGGTGTAGCCATTGGACCTTTTAACCCAATCTTATTTCTTCTCACAGATTCAAGGCTCTCCCATGTAAGAAAACTCTGGGTCCTAGGGTCCACCTCTGTCCCCACGTAGTGTTCTTCCCATTCAATAGGCACATCAGCAGTTCTGAACACCTGCATTTAAGTACAGTGATGATGATTCACTCATAACAATAGCAGTATTTTACCAAACGATTGTGCATTGCAGAACAATGATCCAGACATTAAAAACTACATAAAGTATTCACGTATCATAAAATGAAGATTCTGTTCTTCAAGTTATAGAAACATAAGCTCGTGCAATTCAAGTCAAATGACACAAAAAAATCGTATAAAAAATAACGATTTATTAAACGCCACAGTTGGAAAATTCCATGAAAATCATGATAGATGGAGCAACAAAACATGAGATAAACGTAAGGCGCGAAGAAACGGACCTGCTTGACGGACTCGGCAATCTCGGGGCCGATTCCGTCGCCGGGGAAGAGAGTGGCGCGAATCAGATTAGAGCTTGACGCCGATTCGGCGAAGCCCCGATTGAAAACCCTAGCAGATGCAGCCGATGAACTGCATCTAAAGAAGCCGCTCCCGATGACTCTTCTTGCGATTCGAGAAGCCATTCTCGCCCAGGTTTGGGTCTGTGGATCGATATCGATAGGTTTTTGCAAATACGAAGGTATTTTATCAAATATACCCTTCTTCTTTGTACATTGTACAATAGATCTTTTCATTTCATTTTTTAACAATTAAAATACCACAACTACCCTCACTTACTTTATTTATTACACCTCATTTAATACACTCCACCCATTTTTCATTAACGGTATTATGGTAAACTTTCCGTTTTTTCAACTCTCCTTAAAAACCACCAAAAGTCAAAATGAGAAGATCTTAGGGGACGGAGGGAGTAATTTTTTTTAAATTATTGTAAAAAAAAATTCTTTCTTGACTAGTAGGGAATTTATGCTTTAATCCGTATTATATTCTTCGTATGGGCTTAGAATAATTGATCCAAAGCCTAGTGTAGCCGTATAGGTGGTTTCGACTTTTGGAATAGTAACTACAAGTCAACAAGTCAACGAATACCCAAAAATATGATTATTGTTTGCATCTAAATTTGTTTAAAGAGAAAATATCTGCATCCGTTTTAAACGGATATTATCCGTATCTGATTAAGGATATCCGATTACTAAACGGATACGGATTTGGTAATTGTATATCCGATCCGTTTAAAATCCGATCCGTTTAAAATCCGATCTCAATATGCATCCGTTTAAATAATCGTTTATCCAAATATCCGATCCGTTATGTATAATTTTTCCTAATTTTTTATGTTTATATTTTGTTTCTCTATTGATATTTCAAAATATAAGAAATGTTTATATACAAAACAAATGTATAGACACATAAAGATATGTACAGACATATAAAAATATGTATATATGTATGTTGCGTATATCTTTTTATCATATGAAGTTATCGTAGAATATCATAAATCATGAAAACAAAGAAAATAATAGTCCCGTGCCAAATGATAGTTGATTCAATAATAGTTTGACTTTAATCTAATTTAAAATTAAAATATTATTTAATTTGATTTTAAAAATTGGAAACGGATACGGATATATCCGATATCCGGCGGATGCAGATACGGTTTTGATTGTCAGTATCCGTCAAGATCCGTATCCGAATTTGATATCCGACAAAAATAAATGGATACGGATTTGCTAATGGCACATCCGATCCGATTAATATCCGTTTACACCCCTAACTACAATTAAGTGCGGGTTGTGTGTTACCGGTTTCGATTCCAAATCGATTTCGGGTTTTTACTATGAAACAAAAGTGAAGTTCTTTATGTTTCATAATTTTCTTTTTTTTTTGACTTTACACGGATTCTAATAAATTGAGATTTGTGTGGTTATAGTTTGTGTAGAGAAAAGTGAAAGAAAATAACGAAATAACCAAATAGAAAAGTAGAAATATAATTATGGGATAGAGGATTATATTTTCTTCATTTTGTTTGTATGTATATACTGTGAATCAACGCTTGCAAGTGTGTAAAAAATCAAAACAATGAAAATGAGATAGGAATATTAATTGCCCCGTCGGTACCCAAAACAAATAATCAGAACCGAAATTCTTTCTACAAGCCCTCAACCCATATAATATTTAATTATTTAAAATTTTAAGTATTTTTTATCAAAATTTTGCAAAATTTGATTTAAAAAGGTCAAAGTATAATTTTTTTAAGACAAAGTCACAAAGAGTATTTTTTTTATACTGTATTTTTCATATTTTAATAATTTTAGACGGTAGAAGTATCTAAAATAATTGGGCTTGATTCGACCCAGCAGTCCAGCCCAATAAAACCAAAATATCTCCCCTATCGGGTCCATAAATATCCACTACAAGCCCTCAGACCGCCTCTCTTCAACCTCTCACTACTACCGAGTCTTCTTCACCTTATCTTCAAAATTCAGCCATGGCTTCCACTACACTACCCCTCCATTTCCTGTCTCTGAGCCCCAAATCCCTCCCTCTCTCCAAACCTAATGGCGCCGCCGCCGCCGCCGCCGCCGTCTCATCGCGCATGTTCTGTCTCCCCTACTCATCCTCCGTCAGTCGCGCGTTCTCCCTCTCCTGCCCCGTCGCCCCGTTCCGGTCTCCCCGCGGTTCCCGCACCGTTCCGCGCGTCGCGTTCGCGGAAGAGATCGAGGATGCGTTGGATGACGTCGAGGAAGTGGACGGCGTGGAGGACGAAGGCGAGGATGAAGATCTCGGCAGCGGCGGTTCCTCCTACTCGTACTCGAACGAGCCAAGGTTCCCGTCGGAATTGAGGCTCTTCGTTGGGAACTTGCCGTTTAGTGTTGAAAGTGCTACTCTTGCTAACCTGTTTGGCGAAGTAGGAAATGTTGAAGTGGCTGAGGTAAATAGAATCTGGCGTTTATTTGTTTGGCTGAGCTATGGTTGTTTATCATCTGCTGAAATTTGGTACAGTTTACTTATGGACTTAATTGCAGAAGGGTTAATTTGATGTTTAAAACTTCTCAGGTTATTTATGACAAGCAAAGTGGAAGAAGCAGAGGATTTGGGTTTGTGACGATGTCAACAGTGGAGGAAGCAGAAGCTGCTGTTCAACAATTGAATGGATATGTGAGCTTCTTCCACTTATAATGTTCAAATTAGTGTTCTTAACAATTAACAATGTTGGTTCGCCTTATGAGCATGGGTTGAAAACTAGCACTGGTTTACCAATTTTGCTTTTGTTGGGTTTGGATTGTAAATCAAGATTTTAATTTTCTGTTCACCAATGAATATCTGGAAGCATTAGTCTACCTACCCACCTGGTTTGCCTGACTTACATTTGAAAAGAAAAGAAATGTGGCTGAAAGTTGTTTAAGAATCACATATTCCAATTTTGTAAAAGAAATTGGAGAAGATCAAATTTTATTTCGGGATGTACAATTTTTTATTTGGGAATGGAAGGAGTATAACGGTTGTTTTATAACACATTTTTTAGAAAACCAAGATTTCATCTGATAAAATTTCAACCTTTTCCTGTCTTTACAACAATTGTTATTGTAAACTGAATTAGTCTATTAACGACACTTGATATGAAACTAAGGGAGGGTGTTTCATTATAAGTACTTTCTCAAGTCAAATGATTTATGATTGGCAGGAACTGGAGGGGAGAGAGTTGAGGGTGAACTCTGGGCCTCCACCACCGAAGAGGGAAAGTTCTTTCAGAGGATCTATGGGTGGGGGAAGTGGAAGATATGATAACACAAATAGGCTTTATGTGGGGAACCTGTCATGGGGTGTTGATGATGAAGCACTTGAAAACCTGTTCAGTGAGCAAGGGAAGGTGAAAGAAGCCAGAGTTGTGTATGACAGAGAAAGTGGGAGATCAAAGGGATTTGGATTTGTTACTTACACTTCCGCAGAGGAGGTCAACAATGCTATCGAGTCGTTGGATGGAGCTGTAAGCTTGTTTTTACTTTCAAACATGATTGCATGAATCAAGGCCTTGTTTGGATTGACTTTATGGTTGGGATTATATTAAAAACACGCTTGGATTGGCATGAATCTAACCTAATTTTCAGTAATTGAGCTAAATGCATGGTATAATTGAGGCTTGTGACTCCTCTAATTTCTTGTACTTAGAGATCCCAGGAATAACATTTCAAAGTCCGTCTTCAACATGATACCCTTGTGAATAAGTAAAGTCATAGGAATTGAATGCCCAACCAGACAAGGCCTTATGGACTGCATGTATTTTTGCTTATTTATATAATCTGCACAAGTTCATTGCTTTCCTCCAGGAATCAACATGTTAGTAATTCTTAACTTCCCTGTGCATTGTACGCAACCCAATCCAATTGATATATCATTTCTCATAACAATAATTTTTTCTGCAGCATTCTTTGATGCTTGAATATTCTTCACTTTCTGTGTTTGTCTGATCTCAAACCTTGCATTAAAAAAAACTTTTTTCAACTGTGCTCAGTTAATTTCTTTTAATCTCCATATTCTGATCACACTTTTAAAGCTTATTAAATGGAAATTTTATTGTTCCCTATTTGCATTCATTATTAATTTGTGACTTTTGTTTAGGACCTAAATGGAAGACCAATCCGTGTAAGTGTTGCTGAATCCCGCCCCAGACAGTTCTGAAATTGTCAACTGTCAACCATGATTTTCAGATTACTAGGTACGATGTAAGCTTGATATGTCCATTTAATCTCAATTATACACAATGATGCTAGATAGCGTATGCCCTCAATGCCTCCCTACATGTTTTGTTCCAATTTCATGTCTTTGACATTCTCAAGAATTAATTTAGTTCACACCACACTTTGTAAGTTTAGCGCTAAGCAATTATCTGGTGGCATTCACATATTCAATTGGCAAAGAATGTGTGCTTATCATTTTATCACCCGCCTGATGAATAATGAATATGTTACACTATGGGAGACAAAATCGCGGTAGCACCCCAGTTAAAAGTTCTACCACCTCCAATATGGAGTTGTTAGAACTTAGAAGAGCGCATTGCTACCGTGTCTACATTTCCAAAAAGAATCCCACATTTTTGTGTAAATACCCTCTTGTATCATTTTCTAAATATTCCTCTCGTTTTTTGTTGAAAAAAAATGCATAAATATTAGTAGTAATTTTGCATCACAATTGGAAGTTCTTAATATGCGGCTGGAGTATATATGTTTTGTACCTGAAAAGGTCTTTGAATTTTCTTCACATGAGGTAGAATGAGAAGCCGGGGACAGATGTGGAAGAGGACTTTGGATGTTTTGCAGAGGCTGTTGTATCCAACACAAGTTTGAAAGAGCAACTATAATGTGACCAATATTACTTTCAATGTATTTTCCTCTCTAGAGTTTGTCTGAAACATTTACTGCCATATGTGTATTGAATGTGTATTGACATTAAAGTTGTTTGATCCATTCAGTTTCGCCTTTTGAATATTGGGCAGTGCTTTGAAATTCGTCCTGCCCTTGCCCGGGTTGAATCGAATGTATAATCCCATGTATGTGGGTTATGTTCGATCAATGGCGCTCTGTCTTATGTTCGTCAATTGTGAGACATCTTCAATTACTTAGAAAGTCAATCAAGTGAGGAATGAGGTAGGCTCTAGAGTTGGACAGAACAAAGCCTCACGAATCAACATCCACGATTTACAATTCACTTTGTTTTCTCTAAAAAAGATAACATATTTTATCGATCCCCGGAATACAAAGTATACAAATTGTCCTTGCCTGAAGAAAATATCAAATTCTCAACATATAAAAGTCTTATACCCTCTATTATTTGTGATCTATGGACTATGCTCCATTCTAGTTTTGGTTAATTTTCACTTGTGGTACTTGAAGTTTGAGTGTTTTTTCGATGAAGAATTTAAACTTAATTTTCTATCAAAAAAATACTTGAATTTCACAAAATGTTTTATGAAAAGCACTTCGGTTATACTCCCCCCGTCCCTCAGTTTTTGTTCACTCACATTTGACTTTTGGAACTGTTTATCTAAGCACTTTGACTCATCAAATTTTCTCAATGTGTAAGTCTAAATATATTCATGTGTGATCTTGTTTGATTTGTCTTAACATATGAATTATTAATATATAATTTCTATGATTTTTTAATATACAAATTACAAGATAAAATGGATTAAAGAAGTACATTGGATGGTGTGTAAAATTGAAAGTAGACAAATATTACGGAAGGAGTAGGTCACAAGCAAGTCATTTTGATGAGTGGCAGCTCAGTTGGCTTTCAACTCAGTTTTTGCCCTTTTCTTGGCTCACTCATCCACCTCGTTGCCATCAATCTTGTGCAACGCCAACTCCCTCTTACGGATCCCTCTCCGGATCCATTCTCTTCCCCCAACATGCCACTGAAGGCGGCGGTGACCCATGGCGGGCGGTGACCAATGGCGGCAGATCAATGGGGATGAGGATAAAGAACAAAGAAAAGGCTAAGTTGGAAGCCAACTTAGCTGTCACTTCATCAAAATGGCCTGGAACTGATTAAAGTATTTTTCTTGAAAGATTTGGTGAATTTCTTTTTTTTTAATATATGGGAAATGAAATTTAGATACTTTATATTTTAGATACTTTAGTTGGAAGCCAATCTAGCTGTCATTTCTTTTTTATATATTGAAAAACACTCAAAGTTCCGGTACCTAAGGTGAAGTTACCCTAAAATTTCTTCAAATTTTTTAATAAGTCCATCAAATATATAAAATCATACTCCCTATAAACTCAATGCAATAGCTATTTACTCATTGCTTGTCTTTTAGGTGCAAACAACAATAACAACCCACTTTGATCTCAAAATAGCTATAACCATTAAACCAGGTTTTCTCCTTCAATGGCAAACTCGCTCAAGGTTTTATCCTGCTGCATTTCAACTTCTCAGAAGCAAGGGCCCGTTTCAAATCTTTGATCTTTTCAAGCAAGTCCCTGTTTTCCTGGTATTTGGTGAACAAGAACAATTAATCGCAAATTGTGTCGAAAAAAACACATACTAAGATCATCATATCGAGATCTCAAGTGGCGTGGCGTTAGTTACATACCTTCTGTAATGACTCTAATTTGCTATCCATCCCAACATCATCCGAAGCAAACGTCTGCTTGATCTTTGCACCAACAACATATACCAATAGATTAAAAAAAATGTGAGACACAAAATTGTCTACGTAACGTGAAAGCCACGTGGCTAGTATAATCTCTCCCAGATTATCCCCTACCCGGCTTTCACTAAAAACAAAAAGATGTACTCCGTCCTCCGTGTCATGACAAGTCGGACAATTAGATGGAAGGAGGCTAATTGAGCAATGATCTTAGTCTGACAAATAAGGAGTCATATCCGTCTCTCTTTGCCACGTGCAGGAACTCCATACAGTATATAGGTTGTCCATTACTACCTAAGCTAGGTTCCCAAGCTTCTTCACAACTTGTTGTGGAAGCTTTGCACTTGGTAGACGAACTTATAAATTTTAAAATATACATATGATTTCATAAATTCTAAGAGATACCCTTCTAGACTTAAACCGTTGTACCTTGACCATACACGACTTTCTTTTTGGGGGTTGGGGGAGGGAGATTATCACATTTCAAGAACCAAACACCCTACTATCCTTTTACCGAAGGTAATATTAGGTTCCATGAACTAAACGTTCTTAGGGTATAGCACAATGGTTTGCTACTTCCCTTTCCAAAACTAGGCTTCTTATTTTGCACCAAAACTTTTTATCCCCCCCCCCCCCCACCCACCCACACACACACACAAAAATAAAGATATAGTAATACATCTAGTAGTTTGTATGTATAATGTAAAAAACACCAGCACTTACTTGAAGTAGCTGCTTTTGGCAGTTGTTAACCTTCTCTGCCTCTTCATCATATCTACCCCTCCAATATGCAGATTCATCCATTGCTTCTCTATTAGCAAGATCAAACTGTCTCCTAAAATGAAATCAAAGGAGACCACAATCACAATGTCATCATTCAACTTGATTTTTTCAGAGACATGTAAATGAAAAAAAAGACCATGGTTTGATGTTTGAAGTTTCCGAGTATATATCAACAAAGTATATTGACTTTTTTCTGACCATGGTCATCTTTCTAGGCTTGGATGATTTTTCTTTTCTCTATGTTCCAATCAACACTAGTTCAGATTCAGTTGAAGCTCTGACAGTTCGACATATTGATTTTTTCATTTGAACATCAAACTAGCACTTAAAGAAGCTGCCATCTTTGCTCATATTGATAATTTGGTATATGATAACTTCACATATTATGATACCAAGTAAAACGCTCACTTCACCGTGAAGATACTTCATCATGAAGATTTGCGCGAACTTGAGTACCACTACTGATAGGGGACTGGTAAAAGTATATATTTGTATTGTCATCCTCAATACTAATTCAGCACTTCAAGCTGTTTTCTAGACTGCATATATCATGGAAACCCATCAATTCGTACAACGAAAGAAAGCCATCTCTGCACAGAAATGTATCACATTTTCTAGTACTCAGAGCAAAGACGAAGAAGCAATAATAACAAAACACAGCAGAGGCCAAAAGAACGCTGTTGAGTTCCTGATACAACAAACCAGAATCTCAAACATCCATGATTGATTCTATCCACAGACCAAGTGAAGCAATATGCACTGTTCTGAGCAGCAATTGGTCGAACGATCTTCAATCGCAAACCCTAATTTCGCAGGAGATAGTACTGTACGAGATAAATATGCTAGGAACGAACCTGATCAGTTCGGTCTCGTCGGAAGAGATGCGGTAGTCGATGGTCCAAAGGCGCAAGTAGACAGCTAAACCGATCGCCATAGACATCCCCAGCCCGATCGAGACTACCACCTGCTTTCTTCTGCCCATCTTCTCCTTCTCACTTTCCCGACGTCGGTGATTCCGATTCGATTCGGGTCGGGTCATTCCGGAGAGCATGACCGACGGCGGGTTATTAACGACATTTTCCGATGGAAATGGCGGAATGCCACATTTTTTACTTTCACGCAGGTGGTAAAAGAGCATTTAAGGTCAATTCAATTTTTTTTGTCTTAATAGTAATTTTTAATTAAACTGAAAACATATACGGAGTAATTTAACATTTGGAGAGAGTTTGGATATTGATGTCTTACTTCAAACACAAGATTTTTAATTAGTGTTATTTTAAATAAATTTTTAGTGATGCAGTTTAAATTTGAAAATGTTGTTTCTGCTAAAAAAAAGATGATTATAAAATACTTTTAAGAAATATTAAAGTTAAACATTGAAATTATTTTTTACATGTATACTCAAATGTCTAGTGCTTAAGGTCATACAGCTTTAATAGTTTTACCTAAAATCTAATGAATAAAATTTTGGTTTTGATAATTAGATTATGGATATTTCTTCGTTCCAAATTGATCGTTTCAATTTGACTTTACGATTTAAAAGATATGTTAAAATTAAAAAATGAATGGTTAAAACTTAATTAGAGAAAATAAAGAAATTGTGAAACACACATTCTTTATCTTATTAAAAAATGGATTTTTTTGGGACAAGCTAAATAAAAAAACGAGACAAATACGCAAGAAAAACTAGAGTTTGTAGCATACATCTGAATTTCAGATAAACGAAGCATAATGCTAAAATCAATACAACCTTACCTTATTATTTATTTCAAAGAAAAAATACAACATTACCTAAAAATTTATATAAACACTCTTTACACAACTTTTCTCCCCATGCATAATCTTTCATCATATAACTTTTTTGTCTAAGTTCTTGAAAATACAAGCAACTTCTTTAAGGGGTGAATGAAGTTAATTATTATAAATCAAAATCTAACATATTGTACTCCATTTCCTAATTATTTTTTGCTTATCAAAATTTTGATTATAAATAATAACAAATGAGTTCAATTTCATTGAAATAGAGAATTTTGATAATAAACAATTTTAAAAAATAAAAATTAACTTATAATCATTTCACTGTACTAGATAAAATGTCAAGATTGACTCAAATTATAAGAGAAGTGGAACATAATGATGTAGTACGATGCTCATTGTTGCATTCTATTTCGAGCTGATTTTATTCTATGTCTATAATATAATTGATCATTTTAAACACATTTATATACTTTGTGACAAACATTTTGTGAGAGAGATTTTACATTCAATTTTGGTTAGTCTCTAATTACATTATCACCCTGTTTTAATACTCCGTAATATTTTTGTTTTTTCATAAAAGAAAAAAATTATAATCACCCCAACCCTAAATCAAGTGTCTAGCCAAAAATCGGCCTCCATGGGATTCGAATGTCTGTGTGCCATAATAATCAACTTCGGGGTTTCTTGTTCTGGCATCTGATTCATTTTCTTGCTGTGGGATTTCAGTAAACTGCAGCAGCAGAAGAAGAAAAAGAGGAGTCTTTGGGAGAAAAGAATGCACCCTCACTTGAACTACTACTATCCAGTTCTCCATTCTCAATGCCTCACACGCACACATTCTCTCTTGAGGAAATCTTTCCATTTGAATAACTATTTATTGTGGTTAATTTTTTCTTAATTTAATCACTTCAGTTTTTCCGGGTGTTCTTGTTTTAATTCCTTCCTTCTGTATCTGTGTTGATACTTATGGCATGTATGGAATCTGCCTGCAATTTTGTTGCTTTGGTTTCCATGTTTCAGAGCCATTCTTCTTTTTGCAACTGTGTTTCGCTTTGATGAGTGAAATTGGGGAATTTTCCCACCCATGTGGTTAATCTTGGACAAATTTTCATCATTCCGAATGTGATTTAACTTTGACTACTTCTCTACTTTCGAGTAGTGGTAAAGCCTGTGTAGTCTGTGTACACATTACACACCCTCTCTACTTTCGAGTAGTGGTAAAGCCTGTGTACACATTACACATTACCTCTCTACTTTTTGCGTGATTTTAATGGGTTGTAGTTGTAAATCAACCCAAAAGGCGCCTTTTTTCACATAGCTTACTTTACTGATTTGGAATGGAGGCTCAATGGTGTAATTGTGAAATGTTCTCAGGAATGCTTTGGTTGTGTATGCCCAGATTTCATTATTTTGTGCTTTCATATGGCTACCACTAATTGGATTTGTTTTAAAACTTTGGATTTGTTGGGTGTATAAAGGAACAAAGAAGGAAATAAATCTAATATATACTCCGTGTACATACAGACGCACACACACATATTCTGGAAGTTTACAATGGTGATCTGTGTGTTACTAAATTGCAATCATACAGTCGGTTTTCAGTGAAAATAATCTGAGTGGAAGATAATGACTGGTGTAACAGGTAATGTGATAAAGAACTGGTGTAACTGTAGACATATTATATACAATGTTTGTGTGTGTGTGTGTGTGTATGGGTGTATTGATTCATTGTTCCATGAAATTGTAATTCCTTTGATGTCGAGACGCTAAAAAAGGATATATGATATAATGATAATTCCTAAATGAGTGGCGATTTCAATGAATTTTGATGCTGTAAAATTAATTCAGTTCATAGCATTAGGATTGAGCCTAATGTGAGTGAAAGTTCTTATCTACACACACCAATATCATTATTTCATGATTTTCTATGACATCGTTTGGAAAATATTCACAGCGAAGTCCCTAGTTATATTGCTTTATCTTGTTTGTTGCATCTTCATTGAATCCACGGAAGCTCCATTTCACGCTATTTTTGAGAATTTCTGTTTCCCAAAGTGTCATGTATGTAAAGGCCTTATTAGGCGGAAAAGCATTTCTCAACAAGGCGTATATGACAAGCAAATGGGAAATGTGCTTTTACAGAGAATCTGTGGATTGCTTGGCCACGCTAAATATTTATATATTATCCGCGTGTCAACTTGGTATGTATTTATGGTGCTACGTGTTGAGCTCACCGAAGGAGACGATTATCTATGTATATATAATGCCCCTATAGCAAGTTCATCGATGTGTTTTAGTGCGTATTTTGAATGAAAAATAAAAAGGAGTCATTATGTCTGTGTCTATATCAACAAAAGGGAAAAAATTGATTGTAGAGATACCTGAAGTAATAATGGAGGATTCTGTGAGAAGAGAATTACCCCTCTCACCAATTCCAGTGGGAGTGGTCTTTAGTGGTACATCATCTATGGATACCCCTGGTCCTAAGTTACCATTGCAAAATGCAATGGCAGAGATTGAAGAAGCTACAACTTCGATGACAACGATATCGAGTACAGAAATTTTCAACCCAAAGGTTGAGAGAACATTCTCAGAGCCTATGAATTCAATTGCCTTCTCAAGTCCCAGTTCTGCTGTAAGTTCCCGAATTCTAAGCTTCCTTAATTGATTTGAGCTGTAAAAACATGTCCGTGAAACTAAATCTAGTTTGTGGGAGACTCATATGTGCTAGAAATATAAGAATCTGGCTGTGAGAGGTCAAGCCTTTGTTTGTTAGCCATTCTTACATTGGTTTTTTTTCTTCATTTTCCTTTGAGATGCTTCGCTTAAATTTCCCTATTTTTTGTGTGATTTTACTGGGTCTGGGTTTGTTGTTATTGTATGCTTCAATTAAATTTGTAGCTTCATTTAATTTTTCTTTGTTTCTGGGAAGCATCTTGTCTTTAAAAATATTTAAATGCTTCTATTAAATTGATCTAAGCTAGATGCTTAATGGCTTGTTTGGTTGAGGGATTTCGGAGGGGTGGAAAGGATTTGTTTTTGTTTTACTAATTCATCCTATTTCTAAGTCTCACGCTAGAAACAACTACTCTGTATTTGTTTAGTTCAATCATGCATTCCCGTGTATACTTGCATCTTCATTCTTTACTTTATTTTTAACCAGATTTAATGTAAAGAATAAATACATAAAATAAGTATCACGCCAACAAAACAAGGTCCAATGCATATATTTTTTTGTAGACAGAGGAGAATGCGTGCAAACTACATCGATCATATTCACTACCTAACTTAAAGGAGGGCGGGAGCATCACACGCATGGCTAATGGAAAGGTGCTATATCATGTTATTCCCTCTGCCACTCAAATCACAGACAATACTCTTCCCATATCATTTGCTGCTCCATCTATTGGTGGAGGTAAATATTACTCCCTCCCTCCCTCCCTCCCGAATTTATCTTTACGTATAGGTTTTCCGTAAAAGTTCTACAAAACAAGAAACGGGTAAGTGGCCTGACTATTTTTTTTTAACAAATGAACAATGAAAATATGTTATAAAAGATGTGGAGTTTACGTACTTGATGTTACCATGTAATAAAAGATGTGGAGTTTACTGAAATTTCGCTGCTGCCTATAACCCTTGTCTTGATGTTCAGAAGATGTCACAGAAGAAGCGGTTTGCAGAATATGCTTGATTGAGCTTGGAGAGGGATCAAACACTCTTAAGATGGAATGCAGTTGCAAAGGTGAACTTGCATTGGCCCACAAAGAGTGTGCTGTAAAATGGTTTACTTTAAAAGGCAACAAAATCTGTGATGTCTGTAGGACGGAGGTTCGAAATTTATCTGTTAGGCTTTTGCGTGTTCAAAACAATCATCATGGCAATGCCGCTGTCCGTGCTGAATTTCATCCATTGTGGTAAGTTAATTATACTTCAGTTTTGTTTCTCTTATTAAGGCTGGAAAGTGCAAGCACAAGTTTGCGCTTTTGGTTGCGTTGGTTCCTTAACATGGTATTATAGTCTTTCTGATCTAGATGTCATGAGTCCGAACCTAACCACTACCCTTTTTAAAAAAATAATGTTCACGTGACGGTGGATTGTTTCTCAATTTTAATTTGGTCTTTCCAATCACTCATCCATGCAATTTTCGTGCAATTTGGGTCAATGTTTTTCAAATAAGGTGTGGGATCCAACTGGGTTGTTGTTTGTCAAATAAGTGACCAGAAAGGACCAGTGGTGAAAAGAAATCCACAGGCGTGCACCAAAAGTGGAAATTTTTTATTTTGTAAATCAATTTTCGTGCCAAGTTTATTTAGCTGAGTAACAACTCACTTGAGAAGTGTTGCATAATTTCTCTAGGATTTGGAAGGATTTTCCAGTGCTTCTCTTTTGCAGCATAATTGGCTACTTTATTTTGATGGTGGAGCTTCTGGTAAGATAAAAAAAGGACTGGTATCTTTCACAAGTTACATTTGTATCTTTCACAGTAAAATCCCACAAAAGTCAGGGTCCAGTGCGTGTACGCAGACCTTACCCCCTACTATGAAAGTTTTCCGGTTAACATTTCCCCTAATTGGTAACTATCTGCAGAACAAGAGGGGGCCTCATTCTGTGGACAAAACATTTGCATTTTCTCTCGTGTTGGGGCTCTTCGCACACATGATAGCATATACAATGGGTATTCAAATTTTTCATGACTTTTACGTTCGCGCACTTGTGATGATAGATAGCATTGGTTTCTCATAGTTTTCCTTGCAGAATGAAAAACACTATGATTCTACTACTTATGTGTTCAGCCAGAAAATACACTTGGGTTTATGCACTAGTTCAGTTCGTGTCGGTGGCTCTGTTTGGACATGCGCTCTACTTGTTGGTACTGTTCATTGGTTTTTGTTCGGTAATAGATAGCGTGCGTTTTCTAATTATATGGGTGTTTCTCGGTGCTTATAAGCTGGTAAAAAATGTTTATAACTTAGCCAACTGATGGCATGTTTCTTTGTGCTTATAAGCTGACTTATAGGTTGCTTCAGAAAAATTCTTATTTTTAAGCCAGTTTGTTTATTTCTCCGTTTTGACCAGATTATTTACAAAACTATCCCTCATCATTAATGAATATTCCCAAATCACTTATCATTTAAGTCATTTTATTTCCACGAAAGAATATTTGGCTTATAAGCAGCTTATATGCTAAAAAATGCTTATCAAGCACCATCACAGAGAAATACTCTCTTTATATCATTCTTATCAAAATCAGAAAGAGGTGATTATACATGACTTACGACTTCAAGATCTGACCCTTTGGGCATTTATTTGTGATCACTTTTCCTCTGTTGCAGCTCAACTGTGACGCGTTTGTCGCGATCACTGTGGCCATTTTGTTTGGCTTTGCCGTTCCAATGTGTGGCATATTGATCATCACTGTGCTTATGGACCGGATGGAACCACAAAGTAATAGCGCGAATCAGGAGCAACCATCCCAAGCTCCAGGAACCGGTAATCTTCTTCCTTCGTCCCAAAATGATCTGCAACAAACAGATCTTGAAAGTGGCAGTTCTGGACTTGTTGGTGGCAATTAAGACCAAAGGGTTTCTTCTCTAATTTGTGCATTTTTCCTATCATGTCAATATGTCATATTGTGTGCATGTACATAGTTTAATGGTTTGAACATGTGTTAATACCTCTTGATATTGTGAACATATCACACTTGGGGTTTTAATGTTTCCCTTTTGTACTTCCTTTGCTCCATTTTACATTCCTATGTTTTTTTTATATGTCCAAAATTATATTGCATGCTTTCTTTTATGTAAAATATTAAGTGGTATTAATTGTACCTATCATGTTTAGATTGGTTTTTTTGTTCCCATAACTCTCTTAGGCCTGAAAACAAGTGTTTTTTGATGAACTTTTAAGGTTCTATTCTTTTGAGCATTAACTATTAACTTCTGCCAACAATATCCTCAACCTCCTTTAATTTTTTTCTAACTCTTTTCAGTTTTTTTCAATTGTTTCTAATTTCTTCCAATTCTTTTTAATTTTTTCACCTCCTTCCAATTTCTTCATACTTATTCTAATTTTTTTCAACAATGACTTAAAATAATTATTTAGATTTATTTTTATATATTATTATCATTCTCTCAATAAAATAAAAAATTAATATTTATTGAAAAATTATGTTCTGGATATAAATTTTAGTTAACATTATAGAGTGACTACAAAATCACGTAAATTAGCATAATATTTAATTAATTGATTCATAATTTCGTTTGTGATTCTGAAAATTTTGTTAACCATATTTTTTTGAAATGTATTGTACACTCTATTTTCTTTCATTAAACAATATGCAACTTTTAAATATTCATCGTCTAATAATATTTATTAACTTATTGTCGATAAATAATTTTTATCTCATAAATCACTTATAAATTACTCCCTCCGTCTCGTTTTAAATCACTTGTTTTGACTTTTGAACATATTCAAGGAAAAGAAAAAATAGAGTTGATTTTTCGAAATTGTCATTACTTTTTAGGAGGGATGACGATAAATGAAAAGATAAGGTGAAAAAGAGTGACTTATTTTAGAGGTAGTTTAGGTATTTTGTTTTTAAAAGTTTATGAAAACAACTAACAAACAACTTATTTTAGGACGGAGAAAAAATGCAAACAGGCAATTTAAATTGGGACTGATGGAGTACATACTCTTTCATAAGAGTATAACAACTTAAATAATAATAAATCATTTTGAAATAATTTTAATAAATAATTTGGTCAAAAGGGAAGAATAAAAAAATAACTTAAAATTAAGTAAATAATAAGACTTATCAATTGATTTATAAATTAAAAATAACTTATAAACAATTTTGAACCGCTTAAGAGGACAAAGAAACACCACATAGCAATTCAATTCCAACAACCAAATGAGAGTTCAAGCTCTCTACCAAATAAAATAAAAAAGAGAGCTAATACTCCGTACTTTGCCTTTAAACCACAAGAAAAAAAAGGAAAAGAGAAATGTTTTGCGCAGGGAAGAACACTAATGAGCCTTGTATAATTGATATGCCCATTAAACAAATAAAATCAGTATATTCCATATACTATAAATATAGTAACCTAAAATGCAAAATCTAAAGCAAGATTCTGCTTGCTAATAAGTACTATGATAATCTCATCTAGCCAACAACCACAATAAAACCCAGATGAATAGTATTCTATAATGCTAAGAAAACACCATTCCCACGACGATGCTGGACCGAGAACTGCTTGTCAGCAAAACCGTTTCTGTCAAAAACCGGATAGAGCAGAGAAACAACAAATGAAAGCAAGGAACAAACCTTAGAACTTGACCCCTTTTTATGATGTTTTTTTTCCTTTTATGGTTCTCTTGCTCCTAAATTTATGATTCCTTTTGACAACCTTTTCATACTTACAAGGTGGTTGGGTGCTGGGCCCACTTTCTTGTTTGAAGCGATGTTGTCCCTGATAACAAGCTCTATGATACAAGGGACCACGGGTTACCCATATACACGAGGGGAGCTCAATGCCATACACGGTCACTGTTTGAAACTCGAATTTCCAGCCTTACTTGATATCGGTTGTTTAGTACTTGACAATAAAGAATCAGATGGGTTACTAGTTGGGCTTTCGCCGATGCCCGGTCTCCTCCAAACCTTGATGTGCCCTTCTCTGCAAACGGACAGAACAGATTCAGGGGTGAATGCCAGACCAGAAAGTGGTTCGGTGTGAGCATGATGGGCAACCAACGGTGACAGCTTTGGGACATCCCGCATGCTCGGAGCGGGTTGCAATGTGCCCGTGGGGCCCGCCGTGTCCCAGTGAGCTGACTGACTTCCAGTGCTGAAAGTTGGAGATCCACCAGACGGACGACGTATCGGGACCACAATCTCGTCCATTTCCAAATCCCATAGAAGCAATTGTGTGTCCTGTTTGGGGTAATAATCGATGCAAAACATTAAGGGGGTTTTCAAGGCAAATCGCCATCATCTTTGAACTATGACTAGTTAGTAGAAAAACGTTTGATACAAAACACGATTAAGCAGATTGTTTCAGAGCTCATTTGGTAAGGTGAAGATCAGCTGATATGGCTGAAAACACTGAATTTGACTAATAGGTTGAACGATCCGAAATGTAACTTGTGCATTACTTTTTTTAATGTAAGGATTATTTGTCCTCATCCCATCAATTTCAGCCAAAAAGTAACTTGTGCATTACGTTTTATATTAGCTACAGATTCAGCAACACAGCCAAGTTGAATCCCACAAAAAATATTCTGGGGAGGGTGTGGAAGTACAACCCAAACTAAGCCCGCTACAACCCTTGGAGCCAAGGCCCGTTAACCTCGGGTGATCATAATGCTCACTTAAACCCTTCATTTTTTATGGCCCAAACTATTCCCTTTAAAACACCCTTAAAAATCCATTCCCAATGCTTCCTTGGGGAATCAAATCCGGGTGAGCAATCCCTTCCCAAGCGTATTGTGCAGAAAGTATGGTCAATAAAGCTCATAACCAAAAAAATTCCAACCACTTAACGAGCACCAAACACCAAAAAAAATACCTAGTCGTGAAAAAGTGAATAAGGTGAACCTCAGAGAGGTTAAAGAGACAGGAAAGGCAAGTGGTTTAGCTAGACTACTAGAGAGCCTTATATAATAATCCATGGTGGATATTAATCTTCGATGCTAAACCATATTGACCTTAAAGCAGCTTATTATTATGTGAAGATAACTATTATGTTTAAAGCAGCTTATTATTATGTGAAGATTGAGGGCATTCCACTGATAACAAGGGATTAGACATCATGATATAATGAGATAAAGAAGGCACGTCATCCAGGAATATCAGAAAATAACTATGTCACTATAATTAATTTCCAATAATTTGCATCCATGATTCCATTCATGGACGATTAGTTTTCAAAATTAATAGATTTCAAACGAAGTGAGAGAAACAAATTAAATATGGTTTCATCACTTTCATGTGGCATAAAAGCAAGATAGTGAATAGAAACACTACCTGGCCAACAGAACCAAACCGGTAGACTATATTTTCACCTGAGCAATCTGGATTGGGTGCTGACCAATAAGAATCAAATGCCACCCCACTCACCTGTAGGCCATGAGTTAATAGAGTAAAGCATCAATGATTGCTAGAGACAATGGTACAGGAAGAGATGCCATGTGGTTTGCTCAAAAAAACTTACCCATGAATTGTGTCCCTCTCCCCACGCTACAACCTTGCGCTCATCCATACTCCAAACATGCACCAAGTCATCCTCTCCACCAGTTAAGATATATTTACCATCCATGCTGTTCATTGTATAACTATAAGTTGCAATTTTTCAATTGGAAATCATTATAAATATTTATGCAAAAAGTCCTTCCGTTGGAAAAAAATAAAGTCTCGTCCACTATCCTCAATTTAAAAGGAGTATATTTTTAATGGAAAGGTAAACCCATAAAAGCTCATTGTCATATGACTATTCTAACATTTAAAAAAACTGCAATTCTTACCTCCAGGCACAACACAATAGTGCACCATAATAGCTTTTTCCACCACATACAAGTTGCTCATTTCTATAGTCGAATACTCTCAAGTAACCTGCATTCATTTGTCATCTTTTAGCTCATACTCCCTCCGTCCCATAAAAGGTTCCACATTTTCTTTTTCGCCAGTCCCATAAAAAGGTTCTACTTTCAACTTTTGGAAATTTTTTTGTGGCCCATATAATTTCTCTCTCCTCCGCACCGCTTTCAACCATAGAATTTCACTTTTCTTAATCTCCGTGTCATGTCAAATGTGGAAGCTTTTTACATGACGGAGGAAGTATAAAATTTATGGGACACAAGAAAAAGAACGATACAGAAAACCATTACTACCTTTGTCCCAACATAAGAGTCATATTTCATCAAGGTACAACTTTTAGAAATTGGCAAGGTACATCTCTTATAAATTATCAATCCAACTTACAGAGTATTATTTTAAAATTACTTGTTTTTTTTGCCTAGATTTTACATTGTATCATTTTGCAATTTTTTGAAAATCTACACAAAACTCAAAGAAAAAGTAACTCCATTTGTTGAAATATGACTCTTTTGGGACATAAAAGTTTTGAAACATAATTAAATTTTAGGACAAAGGGAGTTTAATCTTATTCAAGAGGGACAATACCATCCCTCCCTACAGTTGCAATGTATGCCCCGTCGGTTGAGAAAGCAATGCTATTTATTGAACCTTGAAATATATGCCATCTAGCAACAGGATTCTGTATAAAAATATGACAAATCATTTGAAAGATGCATGTGCAATAACACAAATGAACAGCCTAATATAATCCATAAATATGTGCTCTAAGATCTTGCACCCTGATACCTTACTGTGTCGTGCATGTGCCACTGAAAACTGAGTATGATCCTTAATGACTGGAAATGAAGAATCGCTTGAACTATCTTTACTCTGGAAAATGAACAAAGAGTTGATGTATCTGATGTCAAAATAAATTTGAGATGTTAATTACTGAATGATACTGTACAATTTAACCTCTTAAGATCACCAAGACTTGCCTTGTCATAGACATAAAAGTTTCCGTCCGCATGAGCAACAACAAAAGCGCCATCACCATTAGGCACCCACGCAATACTAGTACAGCGGCTGTTGTAGGCAAATAAAATATTTACTTCCTCCGTCCCAAAATATGTTGGTTTAGCCTTACAATTTTGTACCAAAATAATTGATGTTTTAGGAATTTAAAATACAATTGACACTTATCTTCCTATATGCAACCTGTTTCATCTTTTGAAATTAAATGAACAGTAATTGCATGATGAGTATAAGAATTTGGAAGCAATGACATTAATTAAAACACTCCGTCAGATTATTAAAAACTCTAATATTCCATATCTTGAGATAAAAGGCACAATCTTTGAGAAAAAATTTACACTCCATAGTCTCTACAACTTATTAATAAGAAAGAAAATCACAAAACATTATAAATAAGAGTGCACAAGCTTTTTCATGTGATTGCTTAAAATGAAAAAGAAATGTATGGATGCTATATTTGGCAATAAAACTTAATCCCATAGAGGCTAGAGCAAGATCAATTTACCAGGATTTAAATACCGTTGTTAATAACTGGTGCCTAAAAATCTCAACCACGTACTATTCAAAGTTACAAACTCAAAAGCATAGTTGTGGCAATAAAATTTTTTCAGGAAAATACAATGTAACAACAAAACAAGTCCAAATGCATAGATTATCAGATCTGGGAATGAGTTGGGAGGAGAGGGGCTTTGAGTTAGGCGTTTACGTGTTGTTAACAGTGCCATCTTTGTTGAAATGATGTGTTCCAACAAGCTTCTTTCCAATGTCTTGCAATTGCTGCCTCAAAGACGCTAAATAAACTACAATACATAAAATAACAATTAATTCAAAGATGGATATACTTAATTAAATTCCACCTTGAGGAGGGGCAGTATTTTGCTCACCGTCCCCAGATATTAAACCAATAAGGAGATCCTGACCATCCTTAGCTTCTGGATCAAATGCATGGCAGACAGGGTTTGAATTACTGAAATGTATAGATTTTATAGGCTCCTACAATCCAAATAAAGTTTGCTCAAAATTCATCATATTAATCAAATCCATATCAGGATGGTGAACTACAGAAGAAAACCAAACCTTATCACGGGAATTCAAATCACTGATAAATATTGCATCACCCACATTGAACACCAAGTAATCTCCCTTCCCATCAAAATTGGAATTACCCGCACAGTGATTTGAGCTTGAAGTTCCTAACGATCCAATTCTAGTACTCATTCCAGCAACCGACTTACCTCCGCCATTAGACCCACTAAAACTAAGTGTCTTACTCCCATTCCCCCCACCCAATAACAGCCTTGCTGCTGCAGACCTAACACTACTATTTGTCCCAGAAGTACTCGATGACTGTGGCTGTGGCTGCATTTGCTTCTCTTTGATATGAGCTAGGGTCACCTGGATATCATAGTTAATACAAAAAGTTATCCAAAAGAAAATCCCAGGCATTCAATTTCCTATTGTAACTTGCACGATGGGATTAAAAAAAATCATTGCCTCGTTATTAATATTGATATAATAATCATTAGATTATAATAAATTTTTATGTATTCTCAGAAAACAAAAAAGAAGCGAACCAGAAAACTATGAATCCGGGTTGCGAAATCTAGCCCAAAATCAAACCTTACAAAGCCTCCAAAGTCAAATAATCTCCTTGTTACTAACAGATTAAATTCGCACTAAGAAGAAGAAGATAGCAAAACCCTGAAATAAACTGTATAAAAAAGAAATTCAAGTATGAATGCTATGGAGAACCTGAGTAACGGTCTTGCCGTGGCCATAGTGAAGAAGGCCGGCAGGGTAAGTCTTCTCGTACTGAAGCTTATACCTCCCTTCCGGGGTCTTGAAATGCGTCTTCAGGCCAGGCGATTGCGCGTTGCTCCCCGATGCAGAGGACGAAGACGCCGCCGACGCCGCCATCAAACCGTTACTCCCAGATGTGCTGTTCATCGCCCTCGCAACGCCGCCAATCCGAAGCTCTCAACTCCGCCGCCTGCTTCGATTCCGGGAGCTCCTCCTTTCTTCACAACAGAAACATCGCCGTGCGAATTCCACTGGCTCTTCGCCGCCGATGATGATGAATGCGAATTTCGCGATTGTGGATCATGAACGGGCCGGATTGACTTTGGGAAACCTTCGTCCTCGCGATGTACGGTTGGGATTCAACTGCCGCTCTTCACTCTGTTCTTTCTTCTCGGACGTCCGATTCGCGATTTCGCAGTTGGTTCCAAGAACTCAAAGGAAAATCTGAGATTATATATTTGCAGATTTTTTTAGTTTGATTTTGGATTTCAACCAATTGAAATTTGCAGAATTGCAAATCGCTAATTACTGCGTTTAATAAAACCATATACTTATAAGAAACCACGTCTGGATAAGTGATTTGTGAAAAAAAGAAGAAAAGTAGCGGCCATACTTTTTCCTAAAATTGTTTTTTTTGGGTAGATTTTGGATTTTTTTTCTCTCCAAATAAATTTGTTATATGGAGTATATAAAAACAAATATTAGACAAATTCTAAGATTTTGACACCAAATATCCACTAAATCTAATATAGATATACCTAGATATTTAATGTCTATGCACACACAAACATTAAATGTCTATGTGTGTCTGCATTGGTCTTGATGTGCACTTGGTGTTAGATGCTTAGAGAGAAAATAAAACAAATATTGGTCATACAATTATTTTCTTAAATGGAAAGTAGAATAAGTTTTTATGAGAGCGTAAAAAGAAAAATGAGAAGATAATTATGAGATGGTTGAAAATCTGATTTTTCTTATAAACACATGCATGTATATTTCAAAGTAAATAAAAGAGAATTATAAGTATAATGTATATTTTACAAAAAAAACACAATTTTATTATTAATTATTGCATGTTAATTGTGATTTTTATAATAATTGATAGTATTGCGGTATATAAATATCACATAAAAGTATGAAACATGTTGAACATCTTACTTGTTTATTTGATCATGCTTTTTTCATGATTATCTCACATATTAAATTATTGTTTCTTTTTTAAAATTATTGTTAATAATTTAAATTTTTTTTATATAGGCCGGGTTGAGTCGAAGCCCACAAGGTATAAGTGCGGTTTGGACTTGGACTTCTTTTTCTTAAGCGTGCAAGCTAGGTCAGATCAGAATCGAGTCTAGAAAATTCTCAGAATATATCGTCTCACTCCAACATAATGTGTGATTCGATCAACGCTCTATGGTTTCTCGCAATGTGCACTTTTTCCTTCTTCTATTCACAAATTACTTTCTATAGTTTCTTTATTAGATTTCAGTCCCTTTTTAGATGAACTATAATTTTCTCTTACAACATAAATAAAAAAAGAAGAAAGATAAATACTATATTAAAGAGAGATAATATAGTTTCGCCTCCACCTTATGTTTATTTTCATGAAAACAAATTGAGCAAAAGCTATATATTATTATTATTATTATTATATTATTATTATTATTATTATTATAAAAGCTTATGTGTACTCTCTCTACTTCATAAGAAAACTCACATTTTAAATTTTGTCTGATACTGGTAAATCAGTTAATCTAAATTTACAATTGTAGACCAGATCTATGATAATGAACTAAGTCTATAAAATATTTATCAAATATAAAAATACAAGTCACGAAATACGAGAGGGAGAGAGAGAGTACAAGATTATTATGAATGCTAAGAATGTGTGTGATGGGCACCATTGGGCTGCAATGGCTGGCCTAGTGTTCCTATAGCGGCCTCACATCGCTCTCTAGGCCATTATCCCCAAAAATGGCCTACAAAACCCCTTCTGCCATTATCCCCAAAATGCCCTATGTCTTATGACACTGGCACTATGGCTAAATTTAGTTATCGTGAGATATTTATTTTTGATGCAGTGGATGGAGATGACACTTTCAATCGTCATGGCTACGCATGGTCTACGATTCAGACTTCTTCAACATGGGAGTACAACGATATCTATATATAGACATCATTGACTAGTATTGACATGTGACATCTACTCTAATAACGCAAAGGATCATAATATATTTGTGATAAAATACGTCTATTGGGTTGTAGCTGTTGGATTTAATTCGCTTGACTATAACACTTCAACTCCAATGTCACATCACTAATCAGTGGGACCTATGTGATCTGCATTTGGCCCTATACATTATCAATTATATTTCTTCACGTGCTCTCAAAATTGTAATTTGTTCCTCAGGCTACATTGATGAGTTCGAACCATTATTCCAGGGATTTGTTTCACAATGTCACATCACAACCACGACTTAGACTACTCCATATCATATAATTATAGACACGATGTTATGTCGACTCAACGAACTTTAATTAAGATTGTACTTTTTTTTGAAAGTTTTAAGTTCATACTTTATATATACCCATCAATTAGAGTAATTAAAAAAATAATTTCACTTATTAATATTTTGTAACTCATACTCCGTATTATTCATCCATTATTTTCACTATTGCTTTGTGATTAAAGCAATAGTGAGTTTTTTTTGGGCAGAGAGTGTAGTTTATGCTTTCTTTAAAACTTTATTTGTTAGTTTTAATAAAATTTTAAAAAATGTTAAAAAAAATAGTACTCCGGACTCCTCAAATTTTATTGGCGCATCCGATGAACGCAACAACTCTTCTTTATCTTGGTTTCTCAGAACTTTTCTGTAGCCAAAACCCCAAAACAAACAGGAAATACACAGGATGTCCGATGAATCCGACGATGAGTTGAGAAGAAACAGAGGGCCGTCAATGGCGCCCGAAGTGCAATACCCGAAATTCGATCAATACGATGATTGGGAACCCAATGTTTTTCCTCCCAACGACGTAAGTTTATGCTGGATTCCTTGCCCGTCTCTAACTAAAATTTATGGGAAATTGGCAGAGTTAGTCAAACTTAAAGTTCAGATTTTTACGAAAAAGTTGCATGCACACCTATTGTTCGATAAAAGAAAAGGTTGAATTCACATATGCATATAAAAAGAAGGGGTAGAACTTTTAAGGTTTAGTTGGGTTTCCATTTGATAAATTTAGATTTAGTTTTACTGTATATTGTTTTCAATGTTACAAGTATGAAGGAGCTTTCGTTGATTAGTTTAGATGATTGTCTGATTGAGGTTATTTTGCTGATTAGTAACTAAAGCATTTTAAAGTAATGGGCATGTGTTCTTAACTTGGGATGCTAAACTTTTTGTTTCGTTTTAAATCTCAAGAAAATATTGGCATGCTGTTAGCCTGGTAAATGCATTAAAGTTATAACTAAATTGTTAGTTTTGAGTTTATATTCAAGCTCCAAAGAAAACTAGGCCTGTTGTTTATTTGTTGCGTTCAATGTAAGTAACGCTTATGTTTTTTTGGATCTATGACTGGAATTGAAGTACTGGCATACTGCAACTTGAATTATTGATGGAATTCATGGGAATTGAGTGCTTGTTCAAACAATGCCTTATTGTGTGTATGAAGGTTGATGTCATTATTTTGTCCGCCTTGAGAGTGTGAGTCTTAAGCTCTTCCTACTATCATTTTTGTTCATTGGCGACTCCTGTGAGAAATATGTCCTACACGTAAGCAATGCTTAATCATGCATGGAAGAACACATGTATAAACAAATGCAAGTTTTAGTGAAACAACAAATCCTATTATAATCTCAACTCTGTTTGGGCCGTTTTTTTCGTCTTCTTTTTTTTGGGGTGGGGGTGGTGTGGTGTGGGGATGCAGATGTTTTTGTCATTCTTATGCCTTGCTACATTTACTACCCAAAATCTCAATGAAAGTAAGAGGGAAAGGAAGTTTAATGTGTCATTTTGATTTAGTCCATTATTTACCCAAAGCTAAAACATTGTCAATAATGACTTTTTTTATGTTGATATGGTTTAGCTGAAACATATGTGTAATTGCTTTTGACTACTCCCTCCGTTCCAATTTAAATCGCCTTTTTCAGTTAACGATGTTTGATTGAAGTTACTTTCAAATCATTTTATATGAAAAACATTGTAGAATTAAAAAATAAAAACTACATATTTAAAAACAACATCAAAAGATCTACAAAACTAGTGGTGACATGACTATATTATTTTATCAAATGACTAACGAGAATAGGGAAAGAAAGTGAATGAAGTTTGACCCTGTGAATATTAAACATGCAATTTAATTTGGGACGGAGGGAGTAACTTCTTGTGTGTAGCTTACAACCACTGGATTTTCCACCCGGCTTTCAGGTTTCTGATGCTTTCTTTGAGTATCCAGAACTCAGGCGTTCTTTGTCATCTCATGACTTGATGCTGGAAGATAGCACCCTTAAATCAAATGGTGAAGTGAATCCATCAAAGCTTGACGACAAGCAGCTAAAATATACAGATTCTCGCAATCAAAATCTGAACAAATACTTCTATTATGACAGTCCTCTTTCAGAGGAAACCGGTGTTTGGATACCTATCTCTATCCCACCAATGCCAAAAGGAGATCTTGAAGAATGGCAAAAAGGTTTTTACATGGAAGGGGACTACCTCGCAGAGGGTGACAGGGGATGGGATCAATGCACTGGACAAGAAAATAAGGAGATGACAATGTGGGAAGTGTTTCGTGACATGTTAATTATGGCTCGAGAGAAAATGAGTTCTCATGCATCCATTGATTTTCATGGATATATAGGTCCTCGGGTTTCAAAACATATGCTAAGTGAAGTTTGGGAAGAGATGGCACAAACTCTTAAAGATGCCAACTTTGGAAACATTAAGGTTATCCTTGAGGATTTAAAACCATTTGGTCAATATTTTTGAAAATTATACATGCACTAATATTTTATTCCTCCCCACCATCCCACATTTTCTTTCTTCCTCCCCACCTCCCCACCATGCCACTATCATGTTTTCTTTTTTTTTCTAGCAGTTTTAAAGATGCAGAGTTTCCCCACATTTTTGTTCCTTCTTTTCCCCCCTTGTATTTTCTTGGATCCAAATGGATGCCCAAAGATGCTAACTTTAGAAATGTTCAGGTTATCCTTGAGGCGGAGCCACCAAGATGGTTGCCTGATAGTGCTGCATCATCGTGCATGCTTTGCAACCTGCGTTTTCATCCCATCATGCGGCCGAGACATCATTGCAGGTTTTGTGGAGGCATATTTTGCAATGGTTGCTCTAAAGGAAGGATGTTGTTGCCAGCAACATTCCACACTTCAAACCTGCAAAGAGTTTGTGATGTTTGCAATGTACGGCTGGAGCCCATCCAAACTTTCTTAATTGACCAAATTAGCCGTGCGGTGCAGCTTCCAACCCATGATTTAACAGATCTAAGCACTTTGAGATCGTGGCTTAATTTCCCTTGGAGTCAATCCATGGAATATGAAATATATAAGGCTACAAACACCTTGAGGGGATGTGATAAGGTAAAACATCCTTTTCAACTCAAAGCTCATTTGGAATAACTTATGGTGTACGCATTTGTTTCTCCTAAGTGCTTTATCATTTAAGTAATAAGTGCATTTTTTAGATATTTTTTTTCAAGAAGCATTTTTCCATTTTCTATGTTCTTGGAAGCATTTTTCCGTTTTCCTACCAAATGCTTCTTTTTGAAGTAAAAGTACTTGCCTCCCTCTAAAGAACACTTATTCTTTGAAAATATATCCAATCCCACACTCACTTTTACCTTACAGCTATTTATTGAGGAAGAGGCTTATGATAAATAATTAACAACAATACTTGAGGCATACTCAGGGTGTTTGGGCATGGAGAAAATCACAGAGTTGATCGCCCGTGTGCAATAGAAAGGTGTGTGGGGGTCCTCCGGGGAGGCCACTAACATGTGGCCGCAAACTACTAACTCCAAGAGGGAAGCCGCTAAAGAGTGCTGGGTGTGAGTTGCGATTTTGGGAGTAGGCATAAAGGTGAATGGTAGTGGAGTGGTTTGATTCGAAGTAAGGTGGAAGCTAAGTATGCGGCGTATTTGAGCTACATAAACTATATTGAAGAGGAGGATAAAGTGGTTCTACGAGTGGAGTATAAGATTGCCCGTAAGGAAGCTAAGTTAGAGGTTATAAAGGCAAAAAATTTGGCTTTTGAATGCCTCTATAAGGACATAGAGGAGCAGGACGGTGTTAAGCAACTTTTCGTCTAGCTAAGGCTTGTGAGAGGAAGGCCCAAAATCTAGACTATGTGAGATGCGTGAATGGAAGCGATGGTAGAGTGCTGTTTGAGACGACAGATGTGGCACAACGATGAGAGGAGTACTTTCGTGGCACCTTAAATGTGGGAGGACACTCGAGGCTAGAACTAGGTGAGCTGGGGCAGTCCGAGGCGCTTTGAGACTTTGGATATTGTTGGCGCATTAGTCTGGAGGAGGTGGCTCGGGCCAGAGATGCATCGTGAGAGAGCAATGAGACTGGATGAGATTCCAGTTGAGTTTTGGAAGCATGCGGGTTGCGTGGGTTGGTTTGGATAACTGACGAGTAGAGGAGAGTCTGTTGATCCCTCTGTATAAAGGTAAGCATTACATCTAGAGGCATCAAACTGCTTAGCCACTCCATGAAGGTTTGGGAGCGAGTCATTATATTGAGTATATGCTGCAAAAAAGGGTGTGCATTTTCGAGAACCAATTTGGATTCATGCTTGCCAGAGTGACCACAGGGTCCATTCACCTTGTACAGAGGTTGGTGGAAGAGTATAAGGCTAAGAAGAAGGATTGTTTATTTACCTTGAGAAGGTGTACCATAAGGTTCTAAGAGAGGTCCGGTGCAGGTGTCTTGAGTCAATTAGAGTTCCGATCGCATACATCCGCACACTCAGGGATATAGGATTAGAGTAGTTGGATAGGCGCCTCTGGCTAAGGGGTAGTCTTCTATACTTGTTGTGCGTGCTTTGTATGCCTTGTATGCTTGATGCTTTTCTATTGTAGTATCTTTCCTTTGCTAACTTTAGTTTGTTCTCTTCGTGTTGTACCTGTGCTTTCTATGCTTTATCATCTGTGCTCTATTATCTCTTATGATCTTTTCTCTGCTTTATTATCTCTTATGTTTTATTATCTTCTGTGATCTTTTTATTAGTGCAACGTGAGCCCGGGGTCTCTTGGAAACAACCTCTCTACTTTCGAGTAGGGGCAAAATCTGCGTACAATCGTACACACACCCCTCATTAGACCCGACTTTTGTGGGATCCAACTGGGTTGTTGTTGTACTTGAGGCATATTCAATTGGCCTTACCGGAGATTAGAGTAATGGATGAAGTAATAGTTTTAACTAAAATTTGGATGGTAAAGTTTAGGAACTGGGTCTAGAGTTTGAAACGCGGAGTTTGGTTAACTGGAGTTAATAGTTGATCAAGGAGAATAGACCTTTAGTACAAAGTTCAAACAGAATTACCAATGGATTAAGGAGGAAGGCTCATGTTACACCCATTTACTTCACAGTAAAATGGTTTAAGTTCCCACATATTCATTTCACTTTTGCTTGTTACTTGATATACTTAAATAATCAATAGGGTTATGTTTGTTAATTATTGAAAAAAATAGCTATCACTTTAAAAACCACATTTTTTCTTAATGGGCACTTATTTGTGAACAGTGAGCATGTTCTAAAAATGGTCAAGGTGCGTCAGGCCTTCTTTTGCTACATACATTGTTTCCCCGAATTGACCTCCCTAATCTATGCACCCGCTTGAGTACTTGACCTTGACTAGGCCCCACCTAGGGTCTAGGTGTAAGTTTGATGGTCATATAATGCATAACGCCATTTAGAATAGTGCAAAATATATAATGCCGTAATCTCTATTACACCGATGGTACTTAGAAGATGAAAGTCTATGAAGAATGAGTCTGATAATAGGATATATATGTATGTATATGTCTCACATCTTTCTTACTTAATGCAGGTTGGATATATGAACCCTGACAAGTCCATTCCATCTGCCATTCTCAAACAAGCAAAAGGACTTGCTATTCTAACAGTTGCAAAAGTTGGTGCAATGTTTACCTACAACATTGGGATTGGCATAGTGGTAGCTAAAAGAGACGGCAAATCATGTTCATTCTGATATGCCATTTCTGGTCAACGTGCAAAGAAACTCCTCCTCCGCGAGTCGTCTCTATCCCCTTTGTGATTCCTCCCATACTGATATGAAGAAGAAGAAGAGGAAGAAGCATCGTCTTCACCTTCAACCTCCTGCCATCCGGTGGTCAATTCTTCACGGAACTCAGCATCATCAGGGCGGAGGGAGTGATCCTGAGCTCGTTCTTCTTCTTCAACAGGCTCCCCTTCTTCTATGGTGAAGAAGGGTGAAAAAGAGAAGCCTCTTCCGTATGCCTCATCACGAGCAACTGATCCGGAGCTCTTCCGTCCCCGGTCAACACCGCAGAGGAGGAGTTCCTCTGCACGTTGACCAGAAATGGCATATCAGTAAGGGAGGAATCACAAAGGGGACAGAGACGACTCGCGGAGGAGGAGTTCCTCTGCACGTTGGCCAGAAATGGCATATCAGTAAGGGAGGAATCACAAAGGGGACAGAGACGACTCGCGGAGGAGTTCCTCTGCACGTTGACCAGAAATGGCATATCAGTAAGGGAGGAATCACAAAAGGGTCTCCTCCTTCTGCCATCTTGTCTTTTGGCTTTGGTTGGGGGGCTCAGGTGAAAATCATGTTCATTCAAGCACCATATGTTTAACTCTTTATACACCGGATTCTTAGTTTGAGCTGGGGGGGGGGGGGGGGGG